AAGATTTCGAAATCTGCAAGGGAGAGATGATCCCACTTATGAACCACCATATAGCTATATAAGCTCAAAGAGGAGGAGAAATGAGGTTAATTGCAGTGTATTAGATGGCAAGGGAGGAAATCTAAGAAGAATGTGTGTTCAAGACTGCAATAATGTTCAAGCAATTATAAAAAGATTTTGTAGGGGCAAGATTCTATATGATTATTGTAGATTTCGTAAGTGTTACTCAGAAACAAATATACATGAGCTTACAAAATCACTTGATGTTATAGATGTTAAATCACAGACCTGTGATGATATGTACTTGGCATATTATTGTAATAGGTCATATCAGAAATACTTTCAAAATATGCAAGATATAGAAATGCATCCTGTTGTTCAAGAGTCATTCAAAACCAGGTTGCATATTATGTCAAGAAAAGATATGTACATTTATGACCAGAAAGACTGGGAAAAGCAACAAATGAAAATGATGGAGGAAGGTTTTTATGATTTGTCAATCAAACAGCATGTTGAAAAAGGTAAGAAAACGGTCAGATGTCTATACTTGTATATGCTTATTCTTGCTCAATGATTTTGTGAATTTTAGGTTGGGTGTTTGTTTTGATCACCTAAAAAAGAGTACATGGTAATTTTTTGAGGATATCACCATTACTCTGTTAACTGAGCTGTTATATAGAATCATTATAATGAAAATGTGACTGCTATGGCTTTTTCTTTGTCACATAGGCTTCATGATAGAATATTCTTTTAAGGAGTTCTTGATCAGTCATTAATGATATTTAATGATATAATGATGATTAGAAGAAATTAGTAACTGTTGTCTCCGTTCACCTTTTCTTCAGAATTTTGTATTCCATTCAATGATGGAGACACCAACCATTCAAAGGGTGCTTCTCAAAAACCACAGTATTATGATCTTCATTCACTCAGCATTGGACCCCTCAAAGTCTCTGCCAAGTATGATCGAGGGATTTTGCCGAAGCTAAGGGTTATTTTCACAGCCAAGTAAGTAAGAGGAACACAGCTCTTTGTTGGTTCTGGAAATATTAATATATGTATATGATTACAAGTATTACATATAATAGGGTGTATCAAATTCAAGAATCTTCAGCTATCTGACCGTAAGTTGCCACTGAAGTTGAACATAAAGATAAGCTTTGTGGGTATTCAGTACCAGTAGCATGTCTATTCTTCTTTTATTCTATTTCTTTTTAAATCAAAGTATTAGGTGGCTAATAAAATGACTTTCGTAGCTGACAACTGACTTTAGAAATGCACTTAATTTTTCCTGTAGCAGACAATACTATGTTGGCTAACAAAATGACATTTGGACAATATAGATAACATTTGGCATGCCTGTGCAGCATGAGTATTGAATTGCATAAATTGCATATTTTGATACAATGGCAATTTTTCAGATTATCTTTTCATAACTGATGGATTCCTCTCACTTTCTACTATGCAGATATAGAAATTATGCTGCTGAACCCACACCCCCAATATACCCACAGTCTTGGCCCCGATAGCAGGGGAGGACATGAAAAGTACCAGAGAAATTATTAGGTAAATTATCAATAATATACAGAGCATTGGTCAATATATAGTTGAGTGCAGGGTTCTATGTCCCTTGCAACCTCCCCATGGGGAGCTGCTGCCCCCCCTACCCCCACCCTAGACAACAAAGAATCTACCATGTATGTACAACAGGATATATCGTAGGACAGGCTCAGCCATGGACACCTGTGTGTCACTCATAGACTCTACCCTACTGTGAATATGATTGATTCTTTCTTACATTGAGAGATTTATGGGGCAGTAGCCCCCAGGAGGGGGTCGTAGGGGGCACAGCTTGCAGTAATAGACACTGTAGTGACTGATTTTGTGTATATTATTCATATTTTACCCCGCTATTTCTCTGGTATGGACACGCCCTGGCCTTTTACTAATTCCTGCCCCTAAGCCCCCTGGGGATAAAGGGAGGCTCCGGGGAGGTAGGCCTTGCCAGTCCTCCCCCCAGAGATAACCCATTGGCACTGTCATATATAATTGAAAATACTGGGGGGAGGGGAAATGCCCCTCCTACCCACCAAGAGAGGGAACCCCACACGTGGATGATAGGTCCTGCAGCCTGCCGCCCCCTTTTATATAGGGCAGTATTGGCGGGGGTGGCAGAGGTGGCGTCCACCCGGAGTGACTGCCCGAGGGTTAACCTCAGGTGGGAAGTCAGGGTGGGGTCTTGGAACATCGCTCATTGCGTTAGGATGATTGATTGCCTCTATTATCAAGGTAACTGGGGAGGCTAAGAGTTGAGGTGGCTGCTCTCTCGAAGGTGAGAAGACCTGGCTGTGGCACTATCAGTGTAGGTGGCTACACCCATTACTGGTCAGGCCACAGCAATGGTCACCATCTTCAGGGAGTAGCCTCAGCTATCTCCAGGAGGCTCCAGCCCTCAGTGGTAGAGGTTACTCCAGTCGATGAGCATATAATGGTATTGAGA